AATGAAGCTCCCAACACAGGTATGCTCAGATCTATAGCCTGGACTCCCACTCCTTCTTCTTCAAAGCTCCTCCTTCACTTCAAGAACACACAAAATCACTTAAAAGCTCTCAAATGGACACACACAAGCTCAAGAACGAGGATTAGGGTTTGAGAGGGTTGCTTGTCTGAGAATGGTGGCCAGGAATGAGGCAATCATATCCTTTGTATAAGGAACACCCCAAATTAGGGTTTCCATTCTGGGCCTAGTACGGCCAGCGTACTAGGTGGCTTCCACGTCAAAAACACGCATATGAGTACGCTGAGCGTACACTCGCGTATGCCCCGCGTACTCATTTACCACCTTTTCTCAATAAGGACTAAACTTGACAATTTACCAAAAGAACAAGGGCTTATAAGGTATACCTGGACTTCGGATGTTACACCAATGGTGGTGGAAACCATTTGGAGGTCATAATTTTACGAGACTGTATGCATCTCAAAGATGTAAGGACTAAATTGTCCCTAACCCCACTATGGGTCATGTACTTGAAATTAAAAAAACATGTCCTTGGCAGGTTGAAGTTGAGCGCTTTGTGGGAGTTGTTCTTGCGGGAGAATTCAAGCACTTTAGACATCTTGTGTGTAAAAATACTCGTCCTCTGATGATTTACTGCTTTTTAAATTTGTGATATATAATATAACTCTTACAAATTACAACTTTGGTCCCTTTTTCCAATCTTTAAATTGGGTGACCTTATTCCTTAAAACAGGACATATCCAACCGTGAAGGTCTAGCATCAGATGGTGAATGGTTCAATAGATGCTATAGTGCAAGGTATACTGATTTATCCTGTTTCATTTTCTTTATATGGATTTTATAAATAATTAATACATTAAATATGTGATTACAAAGGCTATAGTTTCAATATAGTATGTAAAGCAATTCGAGATATTGTAAACATCTAAATACTTTCGGCCTGTTTTCTTTTTAGCTAATTTATTGTTAAAAGTAAATTGCAAAAACGGTCTTTTGTGCTTTATGATTTTACCATGTTTGGTTTACATTTGAATACTTTTTCATTAATGCTATCGATTTTGGTCCCTGTAAGCTGAAATAAGTAAGTCCTAGGGACCAACATTGAAAATAGAAAGTAGAGGGACCATTTTTATAATTTACCCATTTTAGATCAACTACAACCTATTTATAAGTAAACGGAGTGGAATGGACAGTTTTAATAAATTGTTTGTGTATTTGCAGTTTCATTCCTATAAAGCAATTATTGGAAGAAAGACCTAATTTCTGCCTGGTAGTTGAGTTTCCTATAGGTAGGTATGTGTAGAATAGAGGCTAGTTTGAGTTTATTATGCGCTTGAAAGCTGACAGGATTGGTGTGAAAATTTGCAGTTACATTGAAGTTGAAGAAGCAACAACGACAACAAGTGACGTGAGTTTAGCTTCACAGTCAAGCAACCATTCATCTAATTCTGATGGATTGTTGCTGATGAGCACATCAGATAATAGTTCTGATAGTGGTAATGAGGATCCTCCAGAAACCAGTTTTGTGACTTACATAGAAAGTTCAAATGACCTTGACTTTCTCTCAGCCTGACCTCTCCTCACCCCTTAATAATCACAAGGTACCATCCTCTCCCTCTTTTTGTTTAATATAATAATAATTAGAGTAGTGGTATGCTCTTTAAATATGTAAAAAAACTGAGGTAAATCACGGAGCACCAACAATATTTTGTATTTTGTATTTTGTGTGTGTGCGAGGTGGATCTTCCTTTAGGAATTCCACACCTCAAGGGGAGGGGAGGGGAGGGGCCAAATTATGTAAGTGATTGAGTTGCATTATGTATGATTATCACCGGTCAAAACAATGACTTTGTATAATACGTATCCACGAATAAATAATCCCATTGTGTCTAATAATGTATTGGTAAATTTAATTTTTTGAGTTATTTGAATCTAGAATCGATAATAATACAAAGTGTGGAAAACTTTATATGATATGGAACAATAACAGAACTAGTAAAACATCGATTCCTAGTCTTGTCTAGACCTTTTTTTTTAATTTATACTTTATTATAATGAGATAGCGTTAGAGGTTGAGAATTAGGCTTAGGCATGGTCGCTTCACTAGCTCAAAGTTCAACTCTTTTCTATGGTCTGATTTGGTTATTTGAATGTCAAGATGAGAAAGAATTGATAAGTAAGATTAAATATGCCATATTTAATCTATGACAAAATATGCAATATTACAACCGAAAAACAACTGCCTCATTACATCGCACCAATTAAATAATAATGTTTCATTTTTTTACCAATTAAATAATAATGCCTCATTACATTGCACATTTCATATACGGACTATTTTGTTATATAAACTGAGGAAAAATAAAATAAAATATTATTGCATAAATTATGTACATATTTAACCGTATCGTAGAGAGTAGCTGACATTAGGAAAAGAACAATCTCTAGTAATTCCTACACGAGTTGTAGTCATCTCACTTAATTTTATTTAACCCTATTATAGAGAGTAGCAGCCATGCTCATTAGGAAAAAGAACAATCTCTAGGATTTCTACACGAGCTGTACAAAACCGAGTAATTAATTGATGATAAAACAAATTTATTCCTCGAATATTTTGTCATAGATTAAATATGGCATATTTCGTTTACAAATAGTTTGTTGTAATTCAATGTTATTACATAGATACATGCTAACCCTACTTAATAAAGATCATTTCTGATAGGATTCAATTCGTTATCATTATCTTCATATATTACCGATAAAAATATATATTGAAATCATATTTGTAAGAATTCTTTCATAGATAAGATAATATTATTTTATAATACATTATAGAATACGTCATTATTTATTTAATTAACTCACTTATTTTGAAATATTATATAATCTATTTATAGTATTATACTGACATTCAAATTTTCTGTGATAACTTGTACAACTATTCGTTCTCAATCTTTATTTTTTAGTGCAACCAAATTGGGGTTTGAATAATAAGAGGTGCATGGTGAATTGGTGATGGTGTAACCGATTATTCGCTTTGGGTCCATAACCAAGGGAGAATGTACATGGACAAGAGGTGTGTTTTTCAATTCTTGTACACACCTTACTTTCAAAAAAAAAATTCAAAGGTTTGTGATGAGAGCTTTCTGTCCGGTGAAATCAAAAGCTATATGACCATTTGAAGTTGTGTTTATTTCCTCCCATTTTTCTTTGTTTTATCTATCCATGGACTGTCGCACCTGGGATTAAACCAATAAACCATATTTAAGGGTGAAATGCCAAAGTATTAAATGATGGGTTAACTAAATGCAACTTATTTTTTTAACTCATATATTTATTCGGTCAAAAATATATAACTTTAAAAGCTCAACAACCGTTTCAATAAAATAAACAAGATAAGACTGCGTTTATTTGTGTCTAAATAAATTTTATCATAACAAATTCTCATAACATGATATTTGAGCACTTAGGGTAAACATTCATGCTTAGATTATGGATGTGCATAGAGATGCAATGTTTAATAACTTGAAAGAAATTGAAAACATGGCAAAGATGATGATCGAAACAAAAAAACATACAATAAACAAAATGGTAAACCTCACCATCTAGATGATTTATGTTGAACTCGTCCAAGGCCATCATGTGGGAGGTAAATCGTTGAGCATTAATAATACTTTGGGCTCCATGGTGTGGATGGACCGGTAGAGTGTGTATCTTTACAATGATGTTAATAAAGAACGATTTGTGCAGTAAAATAAATGATTAATTTGTGAACGATTTGTGTAATTTGTGTAGTTATGTATGTTTGAGAAAGATAAGTTTGATAGTATTGTCATTTGCCAACGATAATTTATAGATGATTTTCAAAATATGAATACTCACCGTGGACAATTATAAGACATTGACTAGTATTTTTATTTTAAATAACATTTGATCTTTGGCATAAAAACTATACTTGCCTTAGATAGTATTATTCACAATCCAACCCGATTACAAATGTGAGTCAGTTTGGCTTCGGTTCACTGAACTTGTATGCGAGCATGCGTACTGCGGGTACGAATGCACCACCGGTCGACCAAAAAAAGTTCAATGACCTTTTTGCAATTGTTTTCTTTTCGTTTAACGGTTACAAACACAAATTAAAGAATATTAATAATAGATTTCGGTTTTGATCTACCAATTAACTATGTCATTTAATTGACTGTTACGTTTTGATGTTTAATAACATCAATTACGATTTACAGTATAAATAGTCTCCTTTTTCTCTCTTGCGCTTCTGTTTTTTCTTCCATCTTTTGTTGCAACCAGTGTATAATCTGGGCCAAATGAGGATTCGGGTAGAAAAATTGTTTTTTACTGTTGTATCATGGCAAACAAACACCTCTATAGGGAAAATTTGTTTTTAAAGAAACAGTGTTAAGTGCAAGCCTAGTAAATAGATTTTACTTTTTGTTACAACACGTGTAATGACCAAACAAAAACAATCCGGGTCAAGGCATGTTGCCATTTTTTGGCCAGTTACAGGTTTAGAAAAGTCGTCAATGAGTGTGGTTACTTATTATAAGTAAATTGATTTTTAAGGACGAACACATAACTAATTAATTATTTTTAATTGTATCAAGTAATTATTATTTATTAAATCATAAAGTTGATGATGATTAAAGTCTTGATGCAAAAACCTTTCCTTTCTTGAAAGAAAATGGAGACTTTTGCAAATTTTTTTAAAATAAAAATAAAATAAAAGGAGGTGTGAATAAGGACTAATTATTTTGAGAAAATAAAAAAGAAAGAGATACTATACTATAATACTACACCCACCGCCTATAAATACCACCCAGATTTGCACATATAGACTTGTTGTCTCGGTCTAAAAAATGGGCAGCAACAGTAACACCAACACCGTCCAACCACCACCTCAATACGCCCCCTACCGCCTCGTCAAAACCTTAACCGCCCACCAATCCGCCGTCTCCTGCGTCAAATTCTCCAACAGCGGCAAACTCCTCGCCTCCGCCTCCTTAGACAAATCCCTCATCCTCTGGAATGCCGAAAACCTAACCCTAATCTCCCGCCTCAACGGCCACACCGAAGGCGTCTCCGACCTCGCCTGGTCCTCCGACTCACACTACATCTGCTCCGCCTCCGACGACAAAACCCTCCGCATCTGGGACGCACGCGCCGCCGAATGCGTCAAAACCCTACGCGGCCACACCGATTTCGTCTTCTGTGTAAATTTCAGCGTTCATTCGAACCTCATCGTCTCCGGATCATTCGATGAGACGATTAGGGTTTGGGACGTAAAAACAGGGAAGACTAATCACGTAATCAGAGCTCACTCGTTACCCGTGACCTCCGTGCATTTCAACCGCGACGGATCGCTGATTGTTTCCGGCAGCCACGACGGTAGCTGTAAGATTTGGGATACCGCAACCGGAACCTGCTTGAAGACTCTCATCGACGATAAGGTTCCGGCGGTTTCTTTCACCAAATTTTCACCTAATGGAAAGTTTATACTCGTCGCCACACTTGACGATAATCTGGTTAGTTAATTTCCTATGAATTTATTTGGATATCTATTGTTTAATCTTCTTCTAGATCTAACAGTTAGTTTATAATTTGTAATCTATAATTTATACTACTGTGAATGTAGAAGCTCTGGAACTACTCAACTGGAAAGTTCTTGAAGATGTATACAGGTCATGTAAACAAAAAGTATTGCATAACGCCTACGTTTTCTGTGACAAATGGTAAATACATCGTCAGTGGTTCAGAGGACCATTGTGTCTACATTTGGGATTTACAGGGGAAGAATCTGCTTCAGAAACTAGAAGGGCATACTGATACGGTTATTTCTGTAAATTGCCACCCAACAGAGAACATGATTGCGTCTGCAGGGCTTCTTGGTGATCGAACAATTAGGATATGGGTTCAACCAAGTTAAGTCCATAAGAGAGAAAATCTAAAGCTGTTTTGTTGTGTATCTACTGTTACTTCTGTATACCTAATTCAAGACTTATAAAATGAGATTAATTATGGTCATTCTGGTTAGGAAAAAGATTTTCAGTAATTTTACTTGAAAGTAGTTTGCAATTTACATACCAAAATCGACTCACTCATGCCTGGCATCAGTTGATGATGGTTTTTCCAGCAAAAGATTAAGGACTGTTTCTTAAACCAAATGTGTCTTCAACACCACTGGTGACCTTCTTCCTTCTCTCAGCAATCATTTCCTTATATGCCTGAATTAACAAAAAGAAAGAAAGAAAATTAGCATTTAAGACCTGATAGTATTACCCACACTGTGAAAGATGAATGATGAATGGTTCTAAGTTTTCCATACTTCATACCTTTGGGTAAGAATAGAGAAAGATGTACCACCAGGTGCAGATTAAAGTGGAAGCAACTGAAGTGGCTAAGACGTTGTGCAATATTAGCCAGCTTCCACCAATGATGGATGTTCCAGTGAGGGCAATTGTCCATGGTTGACACCTAAAACAATAAATTAAGCATTGAATGAAACAACCTCAACCATAAGGCCTATTGATTTTTACCTATGGATCATCATGCACTTGTAGATGTGGAATGCTAAGAAATTTTCAAGTGTCGTTTATACAAACAACTAAACATCAATTCAAAAGACAGTTGCTGCATGGGAGTGTAACATAGATACTAAAAAAGCATTGATCTATCGTTTTTTTTTATCCCTTTCTGATTTCTGGAATCAACTTCCCAATGCAATCAGAATGATACGCCAGTAATTTTTACATCATACACTTCCTCACAAAATTGTACATGTCAAATGCTAAGAAATTCTTAAAAGTGTCATATAAAAACAGCTAAAGCTCAATTCAGAACCACAGTGCATTGGCGAAAAACAGAGATACGGACTAAGGCACTCGTTTCTATCAATCAGCTTCTAAATGCGCAACAATTATCCATCTGAATGGATTTAGGCTCTAGTTTAGCAACCGCAACAAATACAAGAATTAAGAAGATAAAAGGGAAAACTGGATTAAAATTTACCAGGAAGGTTTGGTGTCCCAAACTGAATCGTACTCGAGTGAAAGGTAGTTGAGGTATCCGTCCATGTCTTCCACCACGCCTTCTTCATCCAGGAACCTGCTCGAGCTCGACTTGTACTCCTCCTCCTTTGATTGTCCGTTGGAGGAATTGCTGCTGTGAAGGCGTAGGGTTTTAATACCAAATTGAGATTTTCGAAGACGAAGACCATATTCCGGCCGGAACACGCTGCCGGGGCGATGAGATCCCGGAGAAACAACCGTTGGAGGAGCAGAGCAACGAGAGAAGAGAGAGATGGTTATCATTATCGCCTTCTCGTTTTGATGCGCTTCTGTGCTGTGAAGTGTAAATTGTTAGCCTCCCAAAATTTGCGAAGTGTCAAACTAGAATAGAGGCACGACGTCGTTCGGGAGTAATTTGAAATGACATGTTAGACCCCTCGGATTATGTCATTACACAAAAAAGACTACTCATTTTTTACACAGCTTTAAACAAACTATCCCTCCAAATTTATGTATAGGAACACATACGAACCAGTTTGACCGATTTAAACCCAAAAATGTTGGTTAAATCTATAAGGTATGTTTGACAAATTACTTGGCTTGGGGGCTGTTTGATATGAGTTCTAATAGGGTCCAAATGGATATTGAGTCCAAAAAACCAATTCGACATGTTTGATATTGCTTTTTAATTTATTGGACTCGGTCCGTGAGAAACATCATATTCGACACAGCCTCCGACCACCTTCCTCCAACGTCTTCCTCCGACCACCCTTCATCCGACTCAGGTTTGTATTTCTCGTATTTATGTTCCTACTTTTCCTATTTTGCTAGATTTCCCATGTTGCTCATGTTTTGTTAAATTATAGGAAAATGAGTAAAAATCTGTTGTGTAAATATGTGTATATTTGTGTTAAAAATAAATATATGTGTGTATTTGTGTAAATGAGTACATAATTTATGTATATTTATGTGTAAATGAGTGCATAATTTGTGTATATTTGTGTGTAAACGAGTACATAATGTGTGTATGTTTGTTTATTGATCTTATAAACAATGTAACTTATTCCTTAGATATGGCAAAAAACTAAGGTGGAGCTAGTTGGTCTTCAGATATTGTGAACACAAGTTTTCTTGAAGCGTGTATACAAGAACTAACAAGTAACGGTCGGGAGGGTAGTGGCCTGAAAGGAACCTCATGAAATATAATAGCCGAAAACTAAAAAACAAACATGAATTTGTAGTTGACAAAAAACAAATGAAATATCGTTATGACTACTTGAAAAGCAAGTATGCAGTTTGATTGAAATTTAAAAATAAAACCGGGAATCTTTATAATCCTAAAACAAACATGTTTCATATGACAGAGGAAGAATGGTAAGCGGTATCGAATGTATTCTTTTATTTTAAAACACATGATTAATTTGTTTTAAAAGTTTAATAATATTAATAATTTTTTCAAACAGTTGAACAAGATGGTTGACAAATTAAGAAGATTGCCCTCTTCCTTTCCCAGATCTATGCACCCAGTTGTTTGACGGGGCGACCTCGACCGGTTGTGACAGATGGAGACCAGATGTTCGCGCAACAAAGGAAGAAAAAGAAATATACCCAAGGACACATTAGATGATGACTTAAGAGATGTTGACAAGGAAATTCTCAAGGCTGCACAGGTGTTCGCGCAAGAAAATAATCTTGACAAGGAGATGGACAAATGTATGGAGAAGTTGAAAGGCTTGGAGTGGGGATAATTTAATCTGAAATACGCCACTTATCTTATGTTATTCGCTGAAAATGTTGCTAATAGGAAAATTTGGTTACACCTAAAGTCTTCGACTTGTGAGTCGTGGGTGACATGTGTAAGAAAGAAGTTTGGATTACTTGGTTGAATTTAATATAACTTTATGCTCTTTTTGGATTTATGTTTTATGGATTTATATTAGGGTTCATGTTATGGATTTTTATGTTTACGATTGTTATGTGTTATGTTTAGGATTGTTATATTTATGTTATGGTTCATGTTATAGATTTTTATGTTATTTATATTTAACATTTAACAAGTCACATATGGATAAGGAAGGTGAATTTTTCGTTTTCCTTATACTCTCGTGGTATTGGGTGATATTGGTTTGGCAAAGGAAAAGAAGAATTAGAAGAATAAGAGCTAGCGAACCGGTAGCAACCGGGCATGTGTATACGCAAGATTTGATACACGGATGTCCTACACAATGTTACAATATGATGTGGCTTTCACAAGATGCCTTTATACTATTATGCAATCATTTTACACAAAGAAATTGGTTGCAACGTAGTGGACAATAAGCATTGAAGAGAATATGGCTATATTTTTACATGTTATAGGACATAACGAACGTTTTTGAATGGGTAAAGGGAGATTTCAACACTCCACACAAACGATTCATCAATGTTTTCATGAGATCCTAAGTGCAATGATGTGTTTCTGAAAAGAAATTATAGTACCAACATCTTCTGATCCAACAAGAAATACCTCAGAACGACATAAACAAATAAAAGACATATTTCTCGGAGCAATAGGTGCACTAGATGGAACTCTTGTACATGCAGTTGTGCCCGTTGATGAACAAACTCGCTATAGGGGAAGTGTAACGTTCAGTCCAGGTGAGCAATTGTCAAGTTTAAATTTAAAAGTTTTAACCTATCTCACGACGTCAGGGATGTTTGTCACGTCATGAGGGGAATAATGAACGTGTGTTACCTTTGGGGCTCACGACGTGAGCACGTATGACTCACGACGTGAGGCCAACCTGGGAGGAAAACCCTAATTTTGGGGGTTTTATTATGTATTTAAAGAAAGTGAGGGCTAGGGTTAGCCCACCCTCAGCCTCCATCACATCCTTGCACTTCCATTTGAAACCCTAGCATCCATATTTGATCTTGAGCATATTTATGGTGATTCTAACCAAGGAGAAGAAGAGGAAGAGCATCTAGTCCATAATTTTTGCATTCAAGCCTCGTCATCAGCCATTTTGACATCTTCTGGACCTTTTGTGAGTTTCAAGTTCATTGCTTTATGAATCCATAGGCTTAGATATAAGTTTTTATGCTTAATCTTTCATATTCAAGATGATGTAGTTGTTGGAATCCATAAAGTTGCCAACTTTATGGATCTCCAGGGACGTCCCTTGAGTAGTATAGTTGCTAGATTTGGAATATGGTTGAGTTTTATGACTCTTGCATGGGATTTGGTATCATATTTCCTAGATGATAAGATAATATCGACAGCTCTGCATTCAATAAAGATGATATCGACTACTCTACATTTAATAAAGATGATATCGACTACTCTACATTTAATAAAGATGATATCGACAACTCTATGTTTAATAAAGATGACAACGACAACTTTGCATTCAATAAAAGCACACTAAAAATATATTACAAATACAAGATAAAATATACTAGAAATACATTAAAAGCATGAGATACAAATACATAATAAAATATCTTACAAATACATTAAAAGCTTAATGAAAATAAAACATACACTAAACTCTAATTAGTTTCCATAAAACTTCGACATTAGAAAGCGTTTCATGTTTTCTTCGTCTGATGCTAGGGGCTCTTTTTGCAGGAGTGTGTTCAAATGCACAAGTTGCATCTTCGTTAGCTCCCTTTCATCCATTTTTTTCTCCCTTTGTTGCACCTTTTGTTGATCCATTTCAAGTATTTTTCTCATGATTTCTACTTCACTGTCTCTACTAAGCCTCATTGCACGAAGTTCTTCAATAATTTCGTTAGAAGACTTACCTTTTTCTTTTCTTTTAGCCGTATCTCTACCCGTTGGATGTTTAATTATTGAACCACCAATATTTGCCCCTTCTGTGTTGGATTGGACACAATAGTCCCCTTCTTCAGTAGACTTTGATCTTTTTGTGTTGCCACCACTTTCTTCATCACCCACTTCATATTCATGAGTGATCATGTTGCATCATGATCTAGCTGTAAATCCCATTTTCGATGTTTACACATAACCTCATTAAAAACAATTGTGTCATTGAACTTGCTTCCACTTGTCTCATACAATTTATGAGTTTTGATTCTCAACATCTTTCATACTCATTCCATTTTTTTCTATATGCTTCTTGGTAAACACCAACCCATTTTTCGGCACTTTCATTAAGTCGCTTATAACGACCTTTCATTTGAGCTATGTTCTTGTTACCAAGCTTTCCTGGGTTTTCTGCATGATTTGCATCATATAGCTATTTCACTCGTGCCCATATTGATGTTTTATTTTGGTGTTTTCCATGGTGCTCATCTTCACTAACGATACAATATGCTGATATTAAAGCGATATATTCCATCAGCATCTCATTTATCACCTCTTGGATTTTTTCCGGTATTTTGTGAGGTTTGAACATTTTCAGTGACGGGGAATTGATCGGGATTTATGGAAAACTGTGAGGTTTCATAGCTTTGAAAGTTTTGATAATCTTGAGAATCGTCACGATTTAAAACGAAATTTGGATCCATCTTGTTAAAGAAATCAAAATGGTATAGAAAAAAAAGTTGAGATGAGATATGAAGTATATCAATATTATACTCTATTTATAGAGAAAAAAATAAAAAATTTAGTAGTTTTTTATATTTTTTACTGAGATAATGTTAGATTCTTAATAGATAATGATTTTTATCCTAAAACTTATCCAAAAAAATATGTAGAGCTTTTGTGAGCTAAGGTCGCATTTAAAGTTGTGTGGTCCTTTGTGAGCTAAGGTCGCATGGCGGCCTAGTTCACCCAAATTAAATCAAGTTTCTTTTTTTTTATTAAATGACATGAGCCGCTCACCAAAAAACCTCCTAATGGGGGTTGTCTAAGTCAAAATTGAAAATCAAACATAGATCCATTGATGTAATTCCTAACAAATGATGAATTCCATAACTTGCATATAGTTTGAGAATATCAAAATGAGTTTAGAATCAATATTAATTTCATGAAAACTTGTTAGAGCTTCAAAGCTCAAACCTCACCATTAGAGTTGAAACAAGTAAAGTGGTGTAAGATTTACTCGACTTAATGTTGATATTTCTATGGTCCTATAAAATAACTACAAAAATATTTAATCTATAAAACTACATAAATATTACTGTTGATGTGGATACTAATTAATTTTTTATTTTGTTGAACTTTCAAATCGTGAAGACACTAACAAATGTTCAAATCACAAATTCATTCGGTGAACGATTTATCCGAAGTCGTGTAACTTTCTTCTGATATCTTCACATTCAAGTTCATTCAAATATGCAAAAATTGGTCACAATTTGGTTATCCATTTATCCGAACACCGCCAAATTACTTATCAACTATAATAAATGAAGATCCATTTTGCCACATGTCAATCTCTCATGAGTTTTGACACTTGTCATTTTATGATATTTTTTAAATTAAATAATATCCACATGTCAATTTCTAGGTTTTTCTAATTCTTAAAATTAAAAATTTACATAATACTTATATATACAAAGTATTAAATGTAAAAAATATGATAGTAATTCTAATTAATACATTTATTCTTTCCTTATTTCAAAATTTTATTTAAAAAAAATACTTAATGTTTACATTTTAATATTTAATTTTTTTAATCAACTCGTGTAATACACGGGTATTACACCTAGTTTGCCATTAAATAAACAAACCTATTTACAAGAGATAAAAAATACTTATCAAAATAATAACACAACTTCAAATCTATATTAGAATATAAAAAGATAAAACCTAGTTACATGTCTTCTATTTTAGAAGTTCATCGACAATGAAGATGAATTCAATAAAATAAATGATATGTAAGTTATTGATCATATGGTATGACATAACATATAAATAAAAAATAGTTAAAAAATAGTTAGAGAGTTTGATTCACTTCAGATGCTCTGATAACTCATACGTGAACAAAACAAATCTTACCCACTTTGAAGTTGTATATTACTAAGAACAAGATAATCAAAAGTCAAACCTATAAGTCTCTTTCTTTTGGGACAGGTGGTCAAAGATCACTGTTAATGTCTTGTTTTCTCAACAACCCTGCAATTTGAGCAGACCCTCTGCGTCCTCCAGTAAATCCACCACCTTTACCATTGACCACCGTTGACTAACACTACAACCCTATAGCAACTTTTAGAAATACAATTCAATTATATGTCAGTGTTTGATATTCATGAGCAATTGAATTAGATTAAGTCACTAGTAAGACCATTTTTCACCAAAACTAACTATAACTGTGACCAATATCAACGATACAAAATTTGTAATTTATGGTCCCACCAAAAAAGGTTTAACAAGGTGGGTCATTGGGTCTCTGGTATGTGCAAAAGACATGAATACCATCATGATAAAAAAATTACCTTAAAAAATGTTTGTCCAGTCTTGTCTCGTTTAACAAACACAACCTATAGATTTATGATTTCCTAACATTGAGATTGAGGTACATTTTTTTTGTTCTTTTATATTTCAAGTCAAACCAGATCAACCAAACACTCACTGACCCAGTCAAAGGTGGTTCAACTCCTATACCACCAGTCATCAAACCAACAAACCTATAAATTTCTACAAATTAAACACAACTCCCACATCACCATTCTTCATCAACCATGGAACGTGTAACGTGTTTATTAGCAATAACTCTAGCCATTTCAGTTATTACAGTTAACAGCCAAATCAGCACTCCATGCAGTGTGTCGATGCTTGCCACCTTCAGTCCATGTGTAAATTTTATCACCGGAAGCAGTGCAAATGGCGGATCACCAACCGCAGGCTGCTGTGCTGCGGTTGAATCTCTGATGACCACCAGCTCAGAGTGCATGTGTCTTATAGTTACAGGAAACGTGCCTGTTACTCTACCCAGTGCAATCAACCAAGCATTAGCTATTACTCTCCCTAGAGTGTGTAACTCTAAAAGTGTCCCATTGCAATGCAAATGTAACGTTTTTTTTTTTTTATTTATTTTTTTTTTTATTTTTTTATTAATATTCAGTTTCACTTGGCACTTATGTAAACTTCTTACTTTCTTTTTTTTCCCCTTTTTTTGCAGCTACTGGTGTTCCTCTACCTCCCGCAGGTATTTTTCGAACTAAATGTTTGACCTGTTTAACTAGTGTTTGGTAGGACTAAATGAATGAAACAGCAATGCACTTTCATTTATTTGTTTATTATAGCATATAACTTTAATTTTTGTCTATTACAACATTTCCTTTTCGATATTTCTTTTATTAAGGTATATTGTACTTTGAAAAATCTACCCGATTATAGCATTTTACTTCCATTTTTTTTTATCAAGGCGTACTTTTAAAAATCTACTGAAAATTGCTATGTATTTGAATGACATTGCTATAATTCGGTAGATTTCAAAATTTATAATGTTGTAATAGGATGCTATAAAAACAAGATATGAAAGTGCGTTGCGATTTCTTGCATTTAACCCTATATTTTATAGGGTTAAATGCAACAAAGAGCAACATACTTCCGTAAAAAACTATTATAGCATCCTACTTTCGTTTCTTACTGTTACAAAGTCAAATGTCCTAATAAGAAAAAATTGAAAGTGAAATGCTATAATTGGGTATATGACTTTAAAGTACAATCTCCCAATAAGAAATATATATATATATATATATATATATATATATATATATATATATATATATATAATACAATGTTGTAATAAAAAGATGTGAAAGTAAGATGCTATAACAAACAAATAAAGGAAAGCATATTGTTATTTCTTGCATTCAACCCTATTTTATATCTATAAAGTCAAACGGGTCGTACGTATTGACCCCCAACCCGTTACCCGACCCACCCATTTTGCAACCACTAATGATAACATTAACAGCAATCATGGAATTCCATAATTGATGGAGTGAAAACTTACATATGAACAGGTCCAGCATTATTTGTTCCTCCTCCACCCAAGATTCCTCCTCCTCCTCCTCCACGAGCTCTTCCACCAGCTGCTGATTCTCCAGACATTCCACCAGGTCCAAGCGGTAGTAAGACCCGTAAATTTTTATACAAATCCAAAACTATTCTTAAAAACTCGGCTATTTTCAGGTTCCGTGACATCATCGTTGGCCCCAACACCATCTGATACGACTTCAGACGACTTAGACGCGCGTGAGCTGCCCGGGGCACCGCCCGCATCAGCACCAGCTGCCCGGAAAGGTCCAACAGTTGGTTCGGGCATCAGACCCGTGCTTACACCAGCAGCATCCTCTTCAAATCCTCCATTAATGGTTTCACAGCCTGTTCTCTTGCTAACATTAGCAGCAATCGCAGTGACTAATTTCCGTTTCATTCTCTAATGTCCTAAATATGTCATTTGGGTAGCAAAAAAAGTACACATAGTGGAATATAAAAGAAAACCGTGTTTATATTTTGTGGATATAATGGAAATCGAAGCATAAGTATCATGTTTGCTGTGATTGAATGGGTAATGATGTATGTCCGGATAAAGTGATGTGTACATAAGGTCTTTTTCTTTTCTAGAAGAAACAAACCGTCTGAATGAGACCAAATGACCAATTTACCCTTACATTCTAACAAACAATTTCGACAATGCTCGTCAACTTTAACGTGAAGAAGAAGGGGAAATGGGTAAAGGGTTGGTGTCTTTATAGATTAAGCCAGCGTTTTTGGATTAACCCATTTGGTCATTCTCTCTGGATTAAGTCAAAAAGAAACAGCCATATATAACTATCCAGATTAAGAGCTTAACCCATTAAGCTCATTGAGTCGAAAAGAACCCCTGAGCATACAAGGAGTCAAGCACAATCTGTTATCGAAATCAAAGTTAAAAGATTCAAAAGAATTGAAAAGATAATGCATCAATTATAGTCGAAGTCAAGACAAAATATGTATCTGGATAACATCTTGCATAACATCATAGAAAACGTATTAACTAAAACCCTAATTCTATTCGTTTTTCCAAGCACACAACACTAAAGAAAAACCTAAACCTTGTGAATGTGGATCTCTAGAACACGAGCCTGACCAAGAGGAATCCAACATAGATGGACTCGCCCACAATTTCTCAGCTGATAAACAAGTCTGAAACAAGAAAATAGCTTCTCCCATTAGTTTACCAAAGAGCCAATTATGCACATCCCAATACACTTCAACTGGCAATCCATCCACCAAAATCGTATAGTTTCCCCTGAATTTCCATCTAAGATGTTTCACTTGCATCATTGTTTTACCATCTACACGGATCAATAGATATGGATCATTTGTGCCCAATGCATCACATTCAATCGAAACATCATGCATTTTCCCTTTTCCGCACAATCGAGCTTTAGTGGCATACACTTTCTTCCCAAAAATATGCTCTTTTTTCGACAAGAAAACAACATTTGGGGCAAAGGAGGACACGTCTAGCTTCTTTTGCACTTCCTTCTCCATATCCCCTAACACCAAGATCAAATCTTGGTTTACCACAATGGCAAAATAAAAGCCTTCAAGTGGTTCAGGTGAAAAACCGAATTTTGCAGACGCTAAATCCCAATAAATGTCGATTAACTTAGAACTCACTTCAATATTCTTACACCCTCTTCGTTTGGAGAACAACCATGGTTTAATTTCAACTTTACACAAACATTGATTGGTGGAATCGTCAATTTGAACAGAAAGACCTTGACCCATCAAGTTTTTAGTCCAAGTAACAGTGATAATGAAGCAAGAAAAATTGCGCAATCTACACTGATAAACACAAGTAACGAGATTCTGACCAATTTTACCACTAGCTGTAGTAATCGAAGCACTTGATGAAGACGAAGCATCAGCGATTTGAACACCATTTTCGCCAAAGCAAGAAGGGAAATCCCTCATTTAAAATGACAAATTTTCGTACGTTTTTTGTTGTTGAAGGTGGGATAGAAATTGGCTATCGATATAATAGCCCTAGATTCAAGAAACACCGCCAACCCTTAGCTCCAAAGAAGAGTTTGTGGGTGGGTTCTGAAATCACCAAATTTTGTCAAGGTTTCTTGCAATTGAAAAGAAAATACGGCAATATTCTTTAAGTTATGATGGGCAAGCAAGAGAGTCTAGATATGAGTTCTGTGGAAAGTTTGATTAGTGAAGAAAATGGCATCTGGTAGAGAGGATACAGGTTCGACAGGCAAATATCTTTCTCACAATCGAACAAAATGAATATAATTATTGGAGAAAACTTCACAAATGGTACCCCTGGTTTGCAATGTTTTCTTTTCTGAAATCCAAAAAAGTTTTAACTTACAAAAATAGTCTTTTTAACGTGGTTTAATTGTAATTTTGGTCCTTAAAATTAACCCGTTAGTATCTTAAGTGTGTTGAAATGATTGTTTTGTCGTCCAATTATGTATTTATATTAACTGTTGATAATACTAATATTAATTTATTAATATTACCTTTTTACTAAAACATTAATCTAAAATCCAATTACTATTTGAATTTTAACTCTTATTCGTTGACGATGAAATAAAATAAAAACATCATGTTGTTTGGATGAGCCTAACAATTGGGTTAAGAGGTTGCCTATTGGGTTTCAAATAAGTTGTCCAAAATAAAATACAGGACAAACTCTAAAATTTAATACCCAATAAATTAATAACATCGATAAAATTAATAATTTGTCCGGTTCTAATTTGGGACCAGTATAAAATTGGACATCAATTGATAAAATAATAAAATAATAATTTTTTTTAAAAATCTCAATGTATATATATTTGTCCCAACGAAACTATAAATTAATAATTACTAAAATTCTAGAATTGTCTAGTAAAAAATGAATCTATAGTCACTTATTTTTTTGTGAACTTCAAATCTATATTGAGTTCATCTTTAAATCTTCCAATTGCACTTAAGAGTTGAGGCACTGTATTTTCGTATTGCAACAAAAAGTTGTGAAGAGTTGTTGCCGCTTGCAATGCTTATTTCCGAATGATCGGTTCCAAAGGTACTGAATCATCATCAACTTCATCATCAACCGAATTTTGAACGATGTTTGCTTTAATTTCTTCAATGCTTTGGGCCTCGTAACATTCATTATTTTCACTTGGATAATCCAACAACTCATTCACATCCATTTTGTGCCGATAATGCATTCCTGTAATCAAGTTCTCAAGCTCAAGAATGTCTTCTCCAAAATTTACATCGTTTAAATCATTTTAGCCGGTTGGATTAGCCGAACAAATTTTATAGTGATCAATCTAGATCTATTGTATATACATTGAACTTGACAAGTTCATTAATGTGTGAATGTACATGAGAATTTTGAAGGTCCTTGTTTCTGTTTTATTCAAATAGGTAAAGTGAACAGACATATAAATTTTGAAGGTCGATGCATTAATTTGAGAGTTGCTCACGAATATAAACCAATCTTTAAATTAATACTTTATTAATTTATCGATATAATAATATATTGCTAAACTAATAAAATATCTCAGTTCCAACATTATTAATTTATAAAGGTTTACTGTAGTATGTATTTTTGTTTTATATAATGGTAACATACATATAGGTTTCCTTGAATTTTTTTATGGGAATTCCATGGATTTTTATATTGATCAATAAATCAAGAGGAACATGGAAAATTATTTGATGCAGGATCTTGATTTACGTGGATTTGGTTCATCGGTTTTGGATTTACAACTCTGGTGAACAATTGCAGTTGACAAAAGTAAGGGAACAAGTGTGGTGCAAGTTTTGAGTTTATCAATTTTAGATTGCAAAAAAAAAAAATCTCATCTTCATCTTCGTCGCCCTTGAACAAAAGGGGGTGTTAAATTCATATATGTAAGTTATGAGGATTATGTCTGTTTCGTTTTTATGTGAACATGCAAGAAGATATCAATCTCTATCTAAACCCTCTCTTCGGTTTCATCGAATTGATGCAAAAGCAATAGAATTGTTTTGATTTTATTGAACTTTTGTTAAATTCTGGTTGTCGGTTTTTGGAATGTGGATGTTGGTGACTGTGAATTTGGAGTTCCGTTGTCTTATTTTTAACCAAACCACCACTGCACCCAAGCTTAAAACTATCAACACTTGAATCAACAAACATTAGATAGCAAAATGAATCCATATGGTTTTTTCCTAACCATCTTATTAAAGATGCTACAAGATTTGAAGATGCATATTTTAAAGAAGCTTTAATGATCTATATAAAAAGGAGAGAAAAGAAAAAGAAAAAAGAAGGATGAAGATAGAAGAGGATGATAGACGATGGGAAGTAGTGACGGTAACAGTGTTAGTTGCGGTGTTGGTGATGGTTTTGGAGTGGAATGAAATTTAGGAGTATGTACTTCACATTTTTTTAAGAATGAGAGTTAGTGTTTAATAAGTAATAAAATAAGAGATAAAATAGTCATTTCAATACACTTAACAGATTAAGATTAATGGTCATTAGTTTTAGGGACCAAAATCACAATCATACCACGTCAAAAGGACTATTTTTGCAAGTTGAAATTATTTTGAACTTCAGTCAAAGAAAACACCAAACCACATGGACTATTTTTGTAGTTTTTCCTATTCTTGGTTACTTTATTATATGTCATATAAAACGGTGGTTTTCTAACAAAAAAGTAGACGTTGAGGTGGTCAAAATGTGTATTCGCAGTTTACTTAATAAATGCAGAGGAGGTGAAGTGGAGTTGTAGTGTACTTGTACAACTTTCTTCTTCTTTATTATATGCATTGTTTGTCCCAACACAAAACTACCGACATTGATCAAACAATTATAT